AGATTGCGTCGAATTGACCCACCAGTAAGATACCAACTGTGTGGTGGTTCGTTGGCGCGTCGCGATCACCTGCAATATCTACGCAGAAGGATCTGAGATCTTGGTTTGTAGATTTGGTGAATGCCAAAGCAAAACTGCGCCGGTAGAGCTGGTAGAGCGGAATACTTGATTGCAGCGTGCTATCGCAGCAATGACGTCGATACATTGCTGGGGCAACAGTGGGCGCGGCACTTCAACTCTCCTGTGTCCCCACCAATACTGCATTAGTAGGGCAGACAAGCAACAATAAGGTCCTATACTGATGTATTGCGAATGTGGATACCAATAACGCCACCTCATACGTGGCTGCGCAAAATTATATGACATGCTTATGCTCGGCCCTGGAACGTGCTGCTCATCTCAGCGTCGGCGTAGCGTCCGCCGACTTGCTCCGGAATCGACTGTTCGATCGCAACGATCTCGTCGGGCGTCAACTGCACCGTCGCCGCTCCAGCGTTTTCAATCAAGCGCGCCTGGCTCTTCGTGCCCGGAATCGGCACCACATCATCGCCGCTAAAACAAGACAGTGTAAGTAAATGGTCCTAGCATTTGACGAGATGTACCGGTGGAGGACCCAGGCGAGGGCCAGCTGCGCGGGCGTGACGCCCTTGGCCTTGGCAATCGCAAAAAAGTCTATGGCAATGTTCTTGGAGAGGTTCTCTGCGGCGAAGCGCGGGTTGCCCTTGCGCCAGTCCTTGGCGTCGAGCGACTCGATCGACGCGATCGCGCCCGTCAAGAGACCGCGGCCGAGCGGCGAGTAGGCCACGATGCCAACGCCGAGCTCCCGCGCCGTCTTGGCGACCGAGTCTTCAATGTCGCGCGAGTTCAACGACCACTCCATCTGGATGGCCGAGACTGGGTGCACGGCGTGGGCGCGACGCAGCTCGCTCGACGTACACTCGGAGAGGCCAACGTACTTGATCTTGCCTTCTTCGACGAGCTCCTTGAGGGTCGCCATCGTCTCTTCGATCGGCGTCGACGGGTCCATGCGGTGCATGTAGTAGAGGTCCACCGAGTCGATGCCGAGGCGCTCCAAGGATTCGGCGAGCTGCTCACGGATAAAGGCCGGCTTGCCGCTGATGAAGCTTTGGCCGTTGGCAACACCGAGGCCAAACTTGGTCGCAATGACAAACTTGTCGCGGCCAAAGCGCTTGATGGCCTTGCCGACGAGTGCTTCGTTCGTGCGGTTGGGCTTGCCGTCGACGCCGAAGGACTGGTAGATCCACGCCGTGTCCAAAAAGTTGATGCCGAGCTCAAGCGCCTTGCCGATCGTCTCGATGCTGGGCTCTTCGGCGGCTTCGCGGTCAAAGTCGCCGTAGAAGGCCGTCATGCCCATCGTTCCAAGGCCGATCTTGGAGACGCTGAGGCCTTGGGTACCGAGCTTGCGTTGCTGCATCTTGAGGAGTTTGGTGGTCGTCGTCGACGGCGAATTGAGAAATGAGAGGAAGGTGCGACGGACCGGCCGTGGCCGCACACTGAAATCGTCCTGCTTCGAGAATCTTGCAAGTTGAAGCGGCCGAGTAGTAAAGCTTGGTATTTGTATGTGATACAAACGTCAAATCAGTGCATGAGTAGTATACCTACGTATTTGTATGTGATAGAATACCCAAGCTTATTACGTGTCATGTCGACAGCTGGCAGGATATCAGGTTGCCTTTGGCGTTTGCAGAAAATGCACCAATCAAATGCGAGAAGGCTCGCTGACGCCAGGCCGCCGCGTGCATTGCCCCATGGCGATCTACATAATCTAAGCTACTACGAGTTGACACCACAGTCTCCTGAATGCTAACAAGACTAACGCATAGCTTAGTCCGTGGGTCCCTTCGCTTGGCGCGCCGCTCGGTGAGCTTTTGACGTGGTGTTGCTTGATCTTGACGTGGCTGCCAGCAAAACTCGTTCACATCAGCTTCAGATGATTACGATGCTGCGGCCTCGACGCGACTATTGACGTGGCATCGCCTCCTGCAAGTGTCTCTTTGTCACTGGTCTTTTGTATAGCATACTTGATCCTAGCTGTACTACTCAAAGCAACAGTGCACCTTTCGTGGGGACGTCTTCTGGTTCGGCTTCGTTCCCAAGCACCAGACCGATCATTTTCAGTTTCTCGATCCAACACAAATATGCAGCAGCGCAAGCTTGGCAACCAAGGTCTCAGCGTCTCGGCCATCGGCCTTGGCGCCATGGGCATGACCGCCTTCTACGGTGACTTTGACCGCGAAGCAGCTGAAGAGACCAACATTGAGACCATTGGCAAGGCGCTCGAGCTCGGCATCAACATGATCGATACGGCGTGGATCTACCAGTCGTTTGGTATTGACGGCAAGCCCAACGTCACCAACGAAGCGCTTGTCGGCAAGGCTCTCAAGCGCTTTGGCCGCGACAAGTTTATCGTTGCGACCAAGTTTGGACTCGGCGTCGACGCCAATGGTCAACGCTACATCAGCGGCAAGCCGGCGTTCATTCGTGAGCAGCTCGCGCAGTCGTTGGAGCGTCTCGGTATCGACTCGGTGGATCTCTACTACATGCACCGCATGGACCCGTCGACGCCAATCGAAGAGACGATGGCGACCCTCAAAGAGCTCGTCGAAGAAGGCAAGATCAAGTACGTTGGTCTCTCCGAGTGTTCGTCCAGCGAGCTGCGTCGCGCCCACGCCGTGCACCCGGTCTCGGCGATCCAGATGGAGTGGTCGCTCAACACCCGTGACATTGAAGACTCGGTCGCCAAGACGGCGCGGGAGCTCGGCGTTGGCATCGTGG